ATTTTGTAACATATGAGTAGATAAAGGGTTACTGATGGAATGTTAAAATCTTTTAATTTTTAAAAATGTGCTGTAAGGACAAAGCACATACAGAATCTGAAGACAGAATAAAAAAGCAGTATCATATGTCAAAATGGCCTTGCACTAGGTTAAATATTTTGTTTTTATTTTTGTTTTTTGAGACAGGGTTTCTGTGTAGCCCTGGCTGTCCTGGAACTCACTCTGTACATCAGGCTGGCCTCAAACTCAGAGATCTGCTTGCTTCTGCCTCCAGAGTGCTGGGATTAAAGGCCTGTGCCACCACATCCAGGTGTTAAATAAATTCTTATTTAAGAAAGACTCCCTAGCCGGGCACTGGTGGCACACGCCTTTAATCCCAGCACTCAGGAGGCAGAGGCAGTGATCCCTCTGAGTTGAAGGCCAGCCTGGTCTCCAGAGGCAGTGCCAGGATAGGCTCTAAAGCTACACAGAGAAACACTGTCTCAAAAAAAAAAAAAAAAAGAAAGAAAAAAGAAAAAAGAAAAAAGAAAAAACAAGAAAGACTCCCCTCCTCATCCCTTCAAATACAGCTGTCAGAACAGGTGAAGCCACCAGGAATGGAACACCAGAGACACAGTGTCCACAGCTCTCATGGGTCTGCAGTCCAAGGCGTGTGGAGCCAGGTGTGTGTATGTGTGTGTGTGTGTGTGTGTGTGTGTGTGGTGTGTGGTGTGTGGTGTATGTGGTACATGTGTGGTGTGGTGTGGTGTGTTGTATGTGGATGTATGTGTGTTCTGTTTGTGTGGAGTGGAGTGTGTGTGGTGTGGTGTGTATGTGGTTTGTGTGTGTGGAAGTGGAAATGAGGAATCTAGAGGGATCTAGAGGGATCTTGCTAATCTGTAACTCTGGACGAAAGTGACCTCACTTAGTTGGATGGTAGGTAGAGGACTTACACTAGGTGTGTGTGTGTGGGGAGACGGGGGACGGGATCCATCCCATCTGTGCAGGATGCAGGAGCTTAGCTAACAGCCAGCTCTTCCAGGCCCATCCCCAGGAGCAGCCCAGACTGGTTCTGTTATACACCTACATGGGAAAGTTGGCTCCTGAGACCATACAGGAAGCCTGGGCCTCAAGTCACCCCACAGAAGTGACACCACAGCCAGTGTGGCCTCCAACCTTCAATCTCAGAACCACACAGCTTCTCACCTTGCTCCTTTTCAGCTCCTATGCATCCTGCAACACAGTTCAAATGTCCCTTACACTGATGTAGCTCATGTTCCACGTCACATCCTTAGGCTTCTGGCCAGAACTACTCTGAACTGCTTCTGGCTAGACTCAATGCTTTGCCTCTTGCCCCCAAAAACAAAGAATGCACTTCCCTTGAGCAAAACTGCACCTGGGCTGCCAAGGTCTAAAATAGATGTTTTCAAACTTAAGGCAGCATGACTCACCTAGAAGGTTCTCAAACTACAGGCTGCTGGGCAGCACCCTGCTCATGAATGGGGAGGGTCAGGCGGGGCTCCATCATGGCATGACGGTAGTTCCAGGAGGTGCTGAGTCTGCTGGTCTGAAGGCTGACCTCGATAAGGTCAGGTATAAAATCTTCACCTTGGCATCCAGGCCTTGCACAATATGTTCTCTAATTACCGTACCAGCTACACCTCTCCCAGGGGTCGCCCCAGTCCAAGAGCAGCAATGATCCTATGAACTAAAGTCCCCAGAAGAAGTCACACCTACACTGAAAGCTCTAAAAGCTGATCAATGGGCTGGAACTCCAGTGAATGGGGAAGTTTGAATGTTGCAACTCCAGAGCCAAATTATCTTAGGTCATCTTTACCTCTTAAAAAAGCCACTCATTGCCCACCTCTGTGTTCACTATGCAAATTCTTTTGGAATGCATGAACAGGCCCCTAGCTTTCATCAACCCAAAAGCTAAGAATTGTCAGCATCTGAGGCCTGTAGGAGAGATTTCCCCAATTTGCTGTAATTGCCTACCTGATGTTTCCACCAACATGTGGACAGTGGGTAGGGAAGAGGTGGATGGAGTGATGGAGAGAGATGGATGGAGTGATGGGGATGGAGAGATGGATGGAGTGATGGGGATGGGGAGAGATGGATGGAGTGATGGGGATGGGGAGAGATGGATGGAGTGATGGGGATGGGGAGAGATGGATGGAGTGATGGGGGGTGGGGAGATGGATGGAGTGATGGAGATGGAGAGATGGATGGAGTGATGGGGATGGAGAGATGGATGGAGTGATGGGGATGGGGAGAGATGGATGGAGTGATGGGGAGAGAGTGGGTAGGGAGGGGATGGTGATGTGATTATGGGTAGGGTATCTCAACTAAAAGGGCAACAGGTATAGCACCAAGTTATTTTAAGATTACTCTGTATGAAAACATCTAGAAAATACATATTTAATGTTACCAGTGGGTCCTCAGGCCAAAAAAAAAATTCAAGGGGTTTTCATTTTTTGCTTTTCCACATTTCCATCTTTCTTCAGTAACTACCCAAGTGACATCAGTCATTTATTCTTTCTCTAAATTGCTTAAAAGCAATTACTTCTACTACTACCACTGTTATTACTGTGGTGTGTGTGTGTGTGTGTGTGTGTGTGTGTGTGTGTGTGTATGAATGCACATGTCATAATGCATGTGTGGAGGTCAGAGGACAATTTGAGAGTCAGTCCTTTTCTATCTGCATGTGAGTTCTGGGGACTGAACTCGGGTCCCCAAACTTGCACAGCAAGCGCCATCCAGCCCCAGAAAAATAGTTTTCAAAGCGGCTCCAGGACACTAGCTGAAGTCTGTTGTTCATCTATTGTATTTTCTGTTGAATGAGTGAAGAACACTGAAGCCCTGAAACAAACACAAACACAACAGAAAGCAGCTCCATGAATCGAGACAGAGAAAACACGAAGTCTGGCTTCATCCACCCTGGTCCCTTGGTTCTGAGCAAGAGGCCTATCTCTCCATGCCTCTGTTGCTTCTTTTGGAAAAGCAAGATCATCTAGTGACTCTCCCTGTCCTCCACCTCCAGGGTCCCAGGTGACAGAGAACAAACAGGGCTTTATAATCTTAAGTCGGCTGTGTGGGCTTTATTTCACTACTCCTGCCCAAGTGGCTCCCCCAAGAGATGCTCCAAGCAGTAAAACAAAAGATACAACAAATGACAGGGCAGAGCCCAGGGTAGGAGTTGTGACAGGGTACAGAGCCCAGGGTGGTAAGAACAGCAAGTGAAAAGGAACAGAGACCTGGGTAGGGGAGCTATGCTGTGGCTTATGTGTGCCCCCCAAGAGTTCAGGCACTGGAAACCTGGTCCCCAATGTGGTGATATTAATGGGAGGTGACATCACCTGTAAGAGTGAAGTCACAGAGACAGGCTCTAAGGAGAGGAAGGAGGTCCCTTTCTGGGACCTTGGAAGCTCTCTGGCTCCCAATATCACCATGAGATTTTCTTCAGCAAAACCCTCTATGATTCCTACTGACCTGAGCCTGCCGTGAGAGCCCTCAGGCTCTCACAGCCCCGAACCTCCAGAGCTATATGCCAACTAAATATCTCGTGTTCAAGAAGCCCCTCCTCAAGCATCTCACAGCAGTGGGCACCAGAGCAATACAAGTTAGGAAGACCAAGTCCCTGTCCCTTAGCCACTGGCCTCCTCCCAGGCTTCCCTTCCTGCCTGTGAGGTGAGAGAGCACAGGGCCTTGTGAACTCCCCGTTTTCCTAAGCAGCTGGATCTTTCTCCAGTGATCCAGGTTTCCCCATTTAGCAGGAGTAAGTCAGGCATTCTATCAATATAAAGCTAAGACTCTACTTCCCACTGGGATAAAAAATGACAAAGCATCCCTGGCCAATAGCAAGTCCCCAGTGTTCGGAGACCTGACTAGACATGGAAAACCCAAAAAACACACCAACCACCACGGTGATGTGCACCACACCTACAGCATCCCTTTCTCATCAATGCACATTTCTGGACCAGCCCTCCCAGCCACAGTGGCAAGACCCGAGTTCTTACAGCCCCAGTGATGGCGGAGTTACCTGGACCCTCAGCCTGAGGACCTTCAGCCATGTCTCCAAATGTCTGCAAGATTCTGACACTGCCAGCCACACCTGGAATTTACTTGAGATGTTTCTTGCACACACATCACTTCACTTCCTTGGTGTCCAGAGTATGGGACACACATACATACATACATACATACATACACATATACATACACACACACACACACACACACAACACACACACACACACACACACACACACACACACACACACACACACGACAGACTTGGCAGGAAACAAGTTTAGCAGGATGCACATTCTAGGGCATGTGGGTTTTGCCAGCTGAGAGGTGTCAACATGAGACAGGCTGATGACAGGGTTATATGCAGGGCTTCCTCAACCTATGGAGTCAGTGAGGTCCCAGAACCCTTGCAGGAGCCAAGGGTGATACTGGGGGTGGTTAGAACATAGAACTGGGAAAGTTATGAGTCCTACAAATGACACCATAATCAGCACTCAGATGCCCTGTCCACACCAGGCCTCTGGGCATTCATCCAGAATTCAACCACTTCACCCTGGAATGTTCCACGTCAAAGGCACCACAAGGCAAGAATTTCTTATGGGGTGCCATGTTCAGGCTCGAGAGGCCCTCAGACCTAACACAAAAGGCAGGGGACCTGCCCCAAGCCTCCCCAGCTGACAGTATGGGATAGAAAATGCCCTGAGCAGCAGCAGCCTTTAGACTGTGTCTGATTTCTAAATGAAGGATGTTCATCTCTCCATTCACAGCGGGTTAGTAACGGTCCAGCCTTCTCTAGGTCATATGCTACGGCACAGAACTTAAGGGCAGAACAGACTTTTGGGACACTCATTTCTGTGGCCTTGGCCTGAGTGTGGGAAGTGGGGTGAGTATGAGAAAGGGAGGCCAAGCACTCAGCAGCCGACTTCACCCTCTCCCTGCTGCGGCCCTGACCCACACAGCAGACGCTGAGAAAGCATGGCGGGCACTCTTACCCAGAGCTTCCCATCATAGTAATAGGCCCCCAGGAGCTTCACGATGTATGGGTGATCACAGGTGGCCAGGATCTCAATCTCCACAATGTAGTCTTCCAGCTCCTCCTCGCTCTTGGTCTCGATGACTTTGGCTGCTGCCAAGGCTCCAGTCTCCTTGTTTTTGGCCTGCAATGTGGAGACATGGAAGGTTACAAGACAGACTGGGCAGGATACATCCCTAGAAGGCTTCTTAGCCCCCATACAAGTGTGAAAACAAAGGTGGATATCCAAGGATCTGTGACACTGACTGACCTGGCACAGACATTTTCTGACTGGCCAGGGCATACAAGGTGTCAACACAGGGGAGCTCAGACCAGAAAGACCATTCTATGTGTTTAGTAAGATACAACCATACTATGGAAAAAATACAAGAATATCCTAGTGCGCACACACACACACACACACACACACACACACACACACACACACACACACACTTTATAGTACAAAAATGAAAAGAAAGAAAAAGAACAAAAACTCTGAGGAAAACCTCCTGACATCCGGCCAGGAAAAACCTGAAATGGAGACTCACAAGCATGCATTGTCACTGTGTGCTGTTTAAGGTTCATGTGCATGCATCTACACGCATCACAGCACAACTGCCTCCTGGCTACGTGTCACCTGGGCAGAACACTGCCTTCTCTTCTAATGAGAAGGAGACTGAAAGCTTTCTCCAGCTAGGATGACAGTCAGGAAACGGACACTTAACAGGAGCTTCTGAGGATGTGGAAACGGAGAACTACAGTGGTGCAGGACAGCAGCGAGCGACTGGTACAGAGTTCCCTACCCCCCCAGACCAATGCAGATGCTGCACTCCCACTACAGGTTCAGAGCCAAAGGAGCCTAGAGTAGGGATTCCAGCTTTCCAGCACACCGCACTGCATCCACCACAGCCAAGGGTGGGACCCACCGAAGGGCCACCAAAGAAACTAACACATACATGCAATAGGTTGGTGTTCCACCATGAAATGTCACAACAGTAACAAATGAGCCTTGAAAATGCTGTTCTCTGGGGCTGGAGAGATGGCTCAGAGAATAAGAACACTGGCTGTTCTTGCAAAGAACCTGGGTTCAGTTCCCAGCACCCACATGGTGGCTCGCAGCCATCCATAATCCATGGGAGGGAGATTCAACGCCCTCTTCTGGCCTCCTCGGGCACTGCATACGTATAGTGCACAGACATACATGAAGGCAGGCAGGAAGGAAAATAATGGTCTCTAGTCTAAGTGAAACAAGCCAGGCACAAAAGCTAAATACTTTATAATTCCATCCAACTCACCTACAGAGGTCATCAACAGAGACAGAAACTCAAATAGAGGTTACCAGAAACTGTGTGGGGGGTGGGGTGGCCACTTATGGGATCCAGAATTTGTTGGAGATGATTTAAAAACAAAAAACCTTGGGCCAGACATAGTGACACAGGCCATGAATCCAGGACGCAGAGGCAGGAGGATCTCTGCAAGTTTGAGGATAGCCTGGCCTACATTGTGAGTTCCAGGATATATTAGACAATGTCTCAAAAATAAAATAATAAAACAAAACCTTGGAACATAGACAGCGGTGAAAGCTCATGGACTTATTTAGGAGCTGTAGGCCTTGGAAAAGCAAATGTGATAAACAGGATATTAACTCTATTTTGCCAAAATTCCAAGAAGAAAGTGGGAAATAAACAGAATGGTGGAGGCAGTGCCACACTCCACCTCACAAGGGGGCCCCAAATCAGGACACAAGACCCCCACACAACTCCCTTTGTGTCCTTCAAGCTGCAAAGGATGCTACTACAACCTTTACCCTCTCTACCCCGTGCTCACAAGGGCCCATTCCCAGTGTTGATAGAGGACACAATATGATGACAAGGCCCTACATGCCAGCAGCTGCTTTTTACCAAGCACAGCGGCAGTGGATACTCCAGGGCCATGAACACCGGTGCTCCACCCATGCCTTCTTGGGGGTGCCGTGCCTCACACCTACCCTGACCTCTGACCTTAGTTGACACTTCTGCACACTCAGGACAGTTCTTCCTGTGCATCTTCAGCCCCTGGGTGACAATACACATTCACCCACAGGGTCAGGGCACAATGACCTGCAGCTCTAAGTGACAATACACATTCACCCACAGGGTGAGGGCACAGCAGCCTGCAGCTCAGACTCCTGCTGCAAGGTTTTGAGAAGCAAGGCCAAGTTCAGAGAGGGGACACACATGCCTGGAATTTGCACCTGAGTCATTTATCATCACGGATTCTCTACATTCTCTAGGGCAGTGGTTCTCAGCTTTTCTAATGCTGTAACCCTTTAATACAGTTTCTCATGGTGTGGTGACCCCCAACCATAAAATTATTTTGTTGCTACTTTCTAACTGTAATTTTGCTACTGCTATGAATCATAATGAATCTTTGTTTTCTGATGGTCTTAGGTGACCCCTGTGAAAGGGTCACCAGCTTCCTCTCAAAGAGGTCACAAACCACAGGCTGAGAACCGATGCTCTAGACTATACAAGTCCATACAATCTCCAGCACACTGAGAAGCCTCTGTAACCTGATGACCTTTGCTACACCTTGAACAAGACCCATATAAGGTGACACTCAGACAGCCACCCTTTCCCTGGCCTCGGAATCAAGGTCTAGATGGAGAGGTACCACCAATCCTGCTGAGAGGGACCAGGTGGCTGCTTATGATGGGTGTGGCCCAGAAGGCACCAACCTGAGAGGGAGCCTTTGCAAAGGAAGTGGTAGGGAGGATGCAAAAGGCATTTTCCTGTCTTTTCTCAGCTCGGGTCCTGTCTAAGCTGCCAAGAGGCCCAGGCCCCATACAGTGATCAGGACAGTTCATTTATGGGGGGCCAGGGTTTGCTCACCCTTGGCTTTTGCTCCTGAAGTGTGCTAATTCAGTTACTATCTCAACTATCCTCCAGGGCAGTGCAGTTAGAAAGGGAGACTGAGGTAAAGCCCCAAGAGCAAAGTAGCAGGGTGGGTCTGGACCCCTGAAAGCCTGCTCCCAAGCCTGCACACTCCCACTGACCAGTCTTCCTCCACCAAAGTTTTTTGTTTTTTGTTTTTTTTTTTTTAATTCAGAACAGAGTCATGAGACCTCCAGCACCCAGCCCAGGAGCCCAGATCAGCAGGGTGTGTGTGTATTCGGGTGTGTGTGTGTGGGGGGGGTCCTTTTTCTCTCAACTCAATTTTGAATGCTTTTTCAGAACATCTTAAAAACCTATTAAATGAGCAGCTAGAGTCTCTCTCTCCTAGAAGAGAAGTTGGGACTTGGAGAGGCAGAGAGGAAGGGTGAGGCCTTAGGGGGTGGCAGATGGAGGGTGAGGTGACCACAGCACCTCAACCACAATGAGCTAGGCAAAATCCACTCGTTTACAACAGCCTTTTGGTGCCGAGAGTTCTGGTGAAGAAGGCTGCATGTCACCTTTTCCTGAGTTTCTTGAAAAAAATATGTTTTCCTATAAATGTCGGGGAGGGGACTGTCTTCCAGGATTGCACAGGACCTGCTTTGCCCACACTATAAAAGCAACACTGACCAAAGGGCTGGGCCTTCAGCAAGGAGCCAGTGTCAACACCAAGACTGCTCAGTCAATGCCCAGTGCCTCGCTCAGATTTCAGAAGCCAGAGCCCACCAGGGAGGGGCCTGTGCAGCCACTGTGCCAAAACCAAATTCCTTAAAAGTCTGGCTGAAGCAACAATCCATTCCCAAAAGGCAGCAGAGGATGTTGCAACAGCAATGATTTAAAAAACAAAAAACAAAAAACAAAAAACAAAAAAACAGCCGGTGCTGACCACTGCCACTCAGACCTGGAAGGCAAATACCATTCTCAGGCAATGGAGGAGGAAGCTGCGATTCACAGGCGTGTGACTTTTGAAGGCCACATCTGTCACAAGCTAAAGACCAATGACAAGCACATCCAGCACCAGGCACTCACAGCAAGGGGGGCCTTGACAGGTGCAGGCATTGAGCAGGGCAGGCACTGGCTACATGCCTACTTCCCAGATGGCAGACTGAGGGAAGGGGAGGATGGAGTCCAGGACTGTGGTCTTGACTTGGACCTTGCGTTCAAAGAGAATGCTGTGCTTTCTGGAGACTTCTCGTTTGCTTGTGTGACTGTCTGTTTTATGTAGAAGAAAATGGATGATTAGGTACTTGGTAAAATAAGCCCATCCTGGCCAACAGAATGAGACCCATAAAAGAGAAACCATATGTTCAGAGGGCTGAAGCCAAGTCCAAGGTCAGATAGCTATAACGAACAGCCTCGGGCCCCTGGTGTCTCAAAGTCCTTGAACCAAACTGCTTTCCAGAGTTGCCTATGCAGTCGGCATGATTCCTCCCTGGGCCTCCATTTTCCTTCTCTACAGCTGGAGGGTGGGGCATGATGCCCAAGCTCTCTCTGAGCTATGGGGAGAGCCTGAAGAGGGGTGAGGGTCTAACAAATGAGGTGCACTCGGAGGTGAGCGGGCACACAGCACATGGGATCAAGGCTTCCGAAGTCCAACTTCATCAGTAAGTGCTGAGGCCAGGCCAGGGGTGAGGGGGATCCCCAGCCCTGCTAGTGGCTGGCGGTCTCTAACCTTGGAGCCCACACCCTTGAAAGCACAGTGGCCACTTGTGTTTTCTGGCCTAGACACTCAGTGGGAACAATCCTTCCCGTTGTGACAGCCTGGGGCCCAGCCTAGAGGAGGTGGGGCCATCCTCCCCGTCTAGCCGGGAACCCTGCCCTACCCCAGTGGTGCAGCAAGCCATTTCAGGAGCTGGGGGATTACTGAGACCTGGTAACATGGAAGCCAGCAGAGGACAGGCCCCAGACCCTTCCCTTCTCTGGCTGCCAGATGACCACTTGGTCCCTTCCCTTCCCAGGAAATGGCTGATATCCCAGAATGCAGCCAGGCCTTCAGCCTCAGCTTTGAACTCTACATCCCTGACTCCCAAAAAAGAATGCAGAGACCCAATCCTAGCATAGTGGCTGAAGGAGAATGGGGTGCAGAAGACAAGGGCCTTGGAGCCTCTGCAGCTGCCTGGAAGAGTCCTGGGGCACCCCATTCCCACTGTTCATGCAAAACTCTACTGTCTTTGGGAACTGCCTCACTCAGTCCAAGGATCCAGAAGAGCTGTGACTCGACTCCCTGGTC